AATTTCAAATTAAATTTTTTTTTTAAAAAAAATTATTAACACATATTCAATTTCAAATTTATCAAAGTTTAAAAAAACAAAAAATAACACACACACACACAAAAAATAAAAACAAAAACAAAACTTTAAATAAAATTAAAAAAAAAATTAATTGTGGAGGTGGGGCCTGGCAGGGACGTCGCCACCGTGGCTGGGGCTCCTGGCCAGGACGCCGCCACCATGGCAGCGGCGATCCAGCCTAACGCCACTAGCATGGTGGCGGCGTCCTGGCTAGGCGCCCCAGCCACGGTGGCGGCGTCCGTGTCAGGCGCCACCTCCACGGTGGCGGCGTCTCGGCCAGGCGCCCCACCTACGGCGGCGGCATTCCGGCCAGACCTCCGGCACCAATTCGTAATTTTAAACCGCTAAGTACCTCGTTTTGCGGCGACGATGGCGACTCTCCGGTGTATCTCGCCGACGATGACGGCTCTTCGGTGTCTTGGCGATCCAGTGCTGCTCCACATTTTTGGTGAGAGAAAATTTTATTTTCGGTAAAAATTAAAAAAGGACAAGATTTTCAAAGTTTTAAAAATTGTGAAGTTTAAGTAGAGAATTGTGGGGAATTTTTAACTTACTCCCAAAATTTTAAGCAGAAGAAAACAAACAGCAATATACTCCCCACCCACATGACCTCTTCTCTTTCTACCAACCCATTCCATTCACTCTTTGCTAGTTGGGCTGTTGGACTTGGAGTTATGCTTGGCGTGAACCCCACACTTCTCGTTAAGTGGAATACTGTATTTTTTATTTAAATCCATGCTTTTTATTCTTTTTTTCTTTTAAAATTGTTAGTTTATGTCGCAAAAAAGGGTGACTTTGACAGCTATATATTAAATATACCTATTAATATTAAATTTTGGAGGTGTGATATTTTATTGTTTCATGTAGTTGGCAATTCAGACAGTATTCTACAAGTAGTACATAATTTTATAAGATAACTAGTTTGTTGTCTGGGCCCCGGGTTACTACTTTGTATTTTTTTTAATTTGATAATTATGATCGACTGTTGTATAGTTAGTGTGTAATTCGGACATTGTTTCGGATGTTATTATTATTTATTTTATTTTTTTACTTCATATGTATTTATTTTCTAATCTTGTGAAAAATAAATAAAAAAATATGACATCTGATTTACTTAATATATTAAAGAAATATATAATGTTAATTGTGAAAGATTTAAGACATTAATCAAGTTGGTTGAGATGGTAAATGTATGATCTTTGTATTTTGGAGGTTACGGGTTCGATTCTCGCTCAAAGCATAATTTATACATATTCCTTTGGATAGTGACGTGACATTGTGCAAATACTTTGAAGAGTGTCACATGACAGCTTTTCTTTAAAAGGAACACCTTTTAATATATAATATAGATTGGTGTAGCAATTTATTTATTGACTATAATAAAATACTGGTATGGTAATCGCCACTAATTGAATTGGTAAGTGAACAAGGAAATGCACTTATATGATTGAGCTAGTTGTGATACGTTTTTTTAATGGAAAAAAAATGCGTGAGGTAGAGGTAGTTCAAAATTTGTTAGGTGCGATTAGTGGCGGATTTAGGATTTTATGGGTGTTAGGTCACTGTCGCCCATTAAGCGCATACCCATCGATCCAAGAGGTGAATTTTAAATTGTGGAGGATAATTTTGTGATGGAGGAGGAAGAGGAATTCTGGACTAAAAAAACTTGTTATATCACACTATTTTTCCTCTTCATTCTGAAAATTAAGTCATAATTTTAATAATAGTTTTTGTTATTAATTAATTGATATTACTCATATGATGAGTTTAGATTATCGGTATGGATCGGACTAAATAACTAGGATTAAATAAATTAAAGTATGATTGTGTTAAATGAAAGGAATGGGGTCCTTCCAACAAGTGTATTATTCCGATAGATGGTTCAGAATTATCGGAAAGCTAATTCTTCAGTAAGGTCAAGTGATCGGAATGTCTAGGTGGAGGCCGCTTCCGATCAGTAATATTAATGTACAATTAATATTACAGCTTAATCTTGACTGAACCCTTCGGGTCACACTCAATCGAGTAACCGATCCGAGGTGACGAATCAATCCGAAGGATTGGATGAGTCGTTAGAGTATTACGAACAAAGACGTCGAATATCGAGCTTAGTGAGTCGAAACCGAGCGTCGCAAGTTGAGTCGAATTTAGAATTCGACGAGACATGAAATCAATCGAGTTACAAGTACGAGCCTAGCCGTAGCCTCGCAATGGCCTAGCCATGTGAGTGCTAGGCTAGGCGAAACCTGTCGCAAGCCTAGCATGATGATGCTAGCTAGCCATGGCAGCCCCGCACAATCACATAGCAGCATGCTATGCTGTGTATAGTGCTGGGCGCTAGCAGCCTAGCTAGCACGCTGGGCGCTAGCAGCCTAGCTAGCATGCTAGACGCTAGCTGCCTTGCTAGCATACCTGGCGCTAGCAGCCTAGCTAGCACGCTGGGCGCTAGCAGCTTAGCTAGCATGCTAGGCGCTAGCTGCCTTGCTAGCATGCTAGGCGCTAGCTGCCTTGCTAGCATACCTGGCGCTAGCAGCCTTGCTAGCATGCTAGGCGCTAGCTGCCTTGCTAGCATGCCTGGCGCTAGCTGCCTTGCTAGCATGCCTGGCGCTAGCAGCCTTGCTAGCATACTGGGCAACAGCAGCGCCTAGCCATCGCAGCCATCGCATAGCAGCATGCTCAGCATGCATGGATGTGCGTGGTGCTAGGCTATGGCGCGCCCCAGCAGCCAACCTCTCGCAAGCACGCAGAATCGCAGGGCTGGGCCTTGCTAGCAATGCGTTCTGTGCATGCGAGAGCTGGGGCCAGGCACATTGCGAGAAAATGGTGGCGTGGGCTAGCAGCCTTGTAGCGCCCAACACCCGCCATGCCACTACAACAGCTCGCATGCTATGCGTAGCTTGCTAGCTGTGCGCATGCTTGTGCTGGCTGGCTTGCTAGCACAGCCTAGGCGCCAGGCGCCAGCAAGGCTGCCTTGGCATCCAAGGCTGGCAGGCAGCCAGCTGTTCCAGCCACATGGTGGATACGGTTTGGGTGAGGGGACCAAGGTTTGTGGGCATTGCTGATCGGTGGACAATAGGTCGTTAGTTTACTATCCTAGATCAAAATTACAATTTATAACTCCTATCCTAACTCTATCAATTTTACTTTAGATAGCGGTAAGGTAGGGTCGATTCCCAAGGAAACGGGGGTTTAGCACAATTAATACGAAATCGAGGAGAAATTGCTAATAACAAAAAAGGGGTATTTAGATTTGTGTTTGAAGAATCCTATGGACAAACCAACTACTATTGAGCTTAGAATAAACTAAAAACAATGGAAATAGATTAAAAACTCTTAAATGCAAATAAATGGACAAGATTAGAGAGATAACAATGACAAAAGCACTAGGGATAGGGGGATTCAATCATGAACAAGGAATACTAATGAAAACCGATAAGGAACCGATTCTAGAAGTATAAACTCTACCTAAGATAGTTCATTCTCATGCAACTACTCAAGCAAATCGATGAAATCATTCACACCTAGATTAAATCATTCTCATGCATTCAATCAAGGGCTAGACTCTTGGGATTAGAGGTGCACACACTAACTCCAAGCATATTATAGCTCAAATCATCAACTCAAGAATAAATCCCAATCAATAATCAATAGATAGTCAAGTACACATGATTTTCACCCCCTTCCCTAGCTAAAAACCTAAGCTAGAAGGAAGGGAATTGCCATAACAACTAACATAAGCATATATCCAATATCAACACAACCTAACATGATTTTAACTTGAAAGGAAATCAAAGAAACTAATAAAGCTTGAATATTTATGAAAGTAAACTCAAGTAAGAACAATAAAACAAAGAAGATCAAAAACTAGAGAAACAAAAGTAAAGATTGATATTATAAACATGAAAGATTACCAAATCATCAAAGTAGTAGCAACAATCTAGAAGAAAGCTTGAATATTTGATTACAAAGATTGATTCTTGAAGACTAGTGTTTTCTCTCTCTAGAAGCCATGGAAATTCTCTCTCTACAAATGATTTTAAGCCAATGGAATAGTGAATGAGTGAAAAACTCAAGTTAAAGACTATTTATAGTCTTCTACCAAAATGAAGAAAAAGGGCAAGGGAGAGGGCTCTCCGAACAGGCTGCCGCGCCCTCTCCAAGCTGGGTAAATAGCCTCGTCAAACCCAGAATGCCGCGCCCGCGGGGGAAAATGCCGCGCCAGTGGGTCTTCTCTGCCGCGCCCGCGACCCCTATGCTACGCGCCCGCGGCCCCTATGCTCCGCGCCCGCGGCTCGCCATCTCCACTTTCTCTTGCTGGCTTCAGGGTTTTCCTGTCCGCGCCCGCGGCCATTTTGAACAGTGGGCCCTCTCCATTTTGGCATCTCCACTCCCTTGGCAAGCTCCTTTGGCGTCTTTACTCAAGCTATTAATTCATGATTCGCACACGAGCGTTGGGAGCTATCAAAACACACAAAAGGAGGTAAAAACTAAAAGAAAAGACAAAAGGGAAGGGAAAATACGAGAGGGAGCTAAAGTGACTAAAATCGAGATAAAAGGGGTGAAAAGAGGCATAAACAAGTGATAAATCCGGGGGAAATCTGTAGTGAAAAAGGGTAAAACGGTGGCATAAATGCCACACATCAATTTCCTTAGGCATTAAGGCAATGGTCCCCCCCCCCCCTTTTTGGAATGGTCCTCACCTAATAATTCTTCCTCCATTTGACACTTGTAACTCATTGATTGCATTGTTCATTAATTTATTTTTGATTAAAATAAATTAGTAGGAAAATGCAATTCTCCCACATGGATGGGAGAAGGGAGATTCAAGTCTCCTTTCCCTATAAATACCCAAGTTTGGGTTTTGGGAAAAACCACTTGAGTTGAACTCAATGAGGCATCTCCCTTAAGGTGAGAAAACCTCTAAGTTCGTAATACTCTAGTCTTTCTTGGTCTAGCCTCGACTAACCTTCGGGGTAAGGGTCGTTCTGGTCGGGTCTCGAGGGTGGACTCCGTTGGAGGCCGTCGCACTTGCAAGGCTAGAGCTTTCAAAGTAAGAGCTCGATTTGCGAGCGAAGCACGCATCGAGGGTATAATTTTCTTTCTCTTCTTTTAATTATTGCTTAATTATGTTTATGCTTGTTTTAATTGCTTTAGTTATCGGGGCGGGTCTTAGGGGGTTTCCTTTCCGCGTAGTGTGGGTCACTACGAAACCCTACATTAAAAATTAGACGTAGTATTGATTAAGGAAAAAAAGGTAAAAACTAATCACACTGATCCTGACTAGAGTAAAAATAGGAAAAACTAATAATCAGAATAATTAGAATCATAGCAATTACTAATTATTCCTTAATAGTATATGCTTTGATTTTAATGAAAAAGAAAAAAATATATAATACACAAGTTATTGGGTGCGGTAGTTTGCACTATGAAACACGATAATACAGGAGCTAAAGCAAACAACCAACAATGACTCCGATGACGATGATGAAGATGAAGATGAAGCTCAAAACCACCACAAAATTTGATAGTTGAATCCAATTGGTGCGATTTGTGGCTGTTGGACGCGTTGTGGACGGTGGTTGGAAGTAGTGCTGCAATGGTTGGGTGATTTTGAGGGGGGGGGGGGGGGGGTGCAGGTCGTAGGGGCTGCTGGGAATGGTGGAGATGGCTGCACAAATGCGGCTGCTGAAGGTGTTCGCTGATGGTGGTGGTTTGATGGTGGCTGGGTAGGTGGCAGTTGGGGGGCAGCGGTGGTGATGCTGATGTTGTTGGTTGGGGAGTGATGGCAAGGGAGAAATTGCAGGGAACTCATTGCCAGAAGATCGAATTGAAGGAGAAATTGCATTCAGGTTAAGGAATCATCATCATTAGAAGATTACCATCGATTTTTAATGATTTTTGTTTTTAATTTTAATTTTTTAATTTATCGATTATTCATAAATCATTTTATTATTTTTAAAAAAATAATAATTATCTTGGTTAGATGATATAATTAATTGTTTGGTTAATACGAGAATGCTTTCCCTTAATAATGCTCCCAAAAAATGTAATTCCATAAATGCAGCCACTTTTTTTATCAATTCCAAATATACGGTCTACATCAGTGGTTCAACTGATTATATTTTTTTGTCCGATTTTATCACAAACCGCTACTTGAAGTAGCGGTTTCCACCTTATAATAATTATGCCTGTACATTTTTTTAAAAAAAAGCCCAACATCTCTCACTTTCCTGCCGTTCAAACCAAAGTTCCATCATTCTCCATTGCTAATCCTTGCTCAAACTTTATCTGACAATTTCATTATTTATTGCTTCTTATCATCCTCAAATCTTGTTGGCTGGTGGGTTTTTGAATCAATTTGGGCGTAGATAAATTAAGTTTGGGAAATTGATTATCTTGCAATTCTCTCTCTCAACCCTAAAATTTTAATCACTGCCACGGGCTACGTACTGCCGCCATCACCACCATCGTTGTGCCATCGCCGCCATCACCACCATAGCTGAACCGCTGCCTCATCGTCACAAGCTTTTCTGCCACTAGGTTAATAATGTATAATGTAATATTTTATAATTACAGTATGTAAGATCTAACAAAAATAAGATTTGATTTTTTTTAGTTTGATTTAATTTGAAGTATTATCAATCATAACTCATATTTGATTTTTTTTTTTAGTTTGATTTAAGTTGGAGTATTCTCAATCATATAGCTTGATTTCAGTTTGCTCTTCTGAATTTGTCCCTTGAATATAGTAGATTTGATAGCTTATTTCAAGAATGATTTGCCAAAGTGGTGTTAAAAAATAAATTATTTGCGAAAATAGTGTTCACTTGAAAATATTTCTCAAACTAGTGTTCATGTAGGATTGGAAAATAACCCAAACCTATAATTTATTATTGCTTTATGTTAAAAGTCTAAACAAAAAAATAATTGGGAGAGATTGTTATATGGACCCGGGTGCATCGTACACTCATGAATATTTTGTTCTCATTTTGATGATTATTTCTTTTAATCATTTCACGAAAAGCAAAAAATAAAGGAAAATTTAACAAGAACAAACCAACTTTTGTCCCGTTCTCCCAAAATGAACCAACTTTTAAATCTGCCCAAAATAAACACAAGTTTGTATTTTTTTTCTCCCGTAGTGAACCTAGCAGGTCACTTGACATGTTATAGTAGGTTGCAATCCTCGTGTCACGTTCTCATTGGTTATTTTTTTTTTATTTTTGAAATTTTGATAATTAAAAAAATATTTATTTTTATTTTTTAAATCTAATAATTAAAAAAAAAAAACACCTTCCCTTCCCATCAATGCCAGCCCCCCGCTCCCCACTAGCCACCCCTTCCCTTGCCGACAGCCGGCGCCTGACGCCCAACCCACGACACCGTTGACCTCACCGCCTTTCCCTTTCCCCCACCCACGATAGCCCAGCCTTCCACTTTCCCCATTTCTACTGCCCCTGACACCACCCAAAGCGAGAAAACAACAAGAGCAAGAGCAATAGGAGAGAGAAAACACAACAATGGAGGAAACCATAACATCAACAAAGAGAGAAAAACGCCTGATTAAAAAAAAGATTGAAGAAGAAGAAGAAAAAAAAGAAAAAAAAAAAGAAGAAGAAGAAAGCGCAACCCTACGCTTGCTTCCTCTGCCGTAACCACCCGATGCGGTGGTGCCCTGATTGCTGCTACTGCTGCTGCGCTGCTCTGCTTTTCCAATTCTTCCAATTCTCACTCCAAATTTCATCATCGTATCACGCAGATTTCTAGGTTTAATGATGTTGTCTCTTACTGGTATAAATGTATAATCCCCTTCCTTTTTCCTAAATTTTACAAAACATTGAATTGAATTTATTTATTTTAGTATGAGCTAGGTCAAGGTTAATGTTGTTTAAATTGAATCAGCCGGCACCGGGAAGTGAGTTGGGCGCCGGCTGCCGGTAGGGGGAGGGAAGAAGGAGGGGCTGGCAGTGGGTGAGGATGGTTTGAGTTATTTTTTTTTTTAATTTTACTTTGTTAATTTAAAAAAATAATTAAAGAAAAATAAAAAAAAATGACTGGATCTTTCGGTCACTGGTCATTTGGGTGTACTAGGAGAGAAAAAAAACACGAACTTAGATTTATTTTGGGAAGATTTTAAGGTTGGTGCATTTTGGGAGAACGGAACAAAGGTTGGTCTGCTCTTGTTAAATTTTTCAAAAATAAACTTGGGTTAGTTGGGTGTATAGTGCATTGAGTGTATATAACAAATTCTAGGAGTCTCAAAACTACTAGTCCTCTCAGGTTCACTTCACCATTGTTCCAGACATTGATGTTAGACGCAACATCGGCAAGGAAGCATAGTCAATCTATGATATCACTATCGCTCCATCTATCCTATTCAGGTATGTTTTCCTTCTTTTCTAATTGAAATTTCTATGGGCTTACATGACAAGTAGATTAGAATTTTGACTGAACAATGTAAATCAGTACTATAAAATTTAACCTAAAAATGAATAATTATTCTTATATGTTGCCCAATTATACTCATATAAGGTTGGTTAATTAGATTTTGCAAGTGGAACTTGTTAGACATGCACCACTTACACTTACACTTGCACTTAGACACAGAGTTATAATACCCATTATACAAATGCATGTATCTAAAATACAAAAATGCTAGACATTTTAAAACATGTATAATACTTCGTATTCATAATCCATACGGTTGGTTAGTGATTATTATATCCATTTTTACTACAATATTAAAATACAAAAGCATAAATTATTAAGACTTAAAGCTACAGAGATCAAGATATTGTAAGCGTTAATGATAAAGAATTTGATGCATACGTTAATACGTATTTATTAGGATTTTATTAGAAATAATCATCTCTTCAATGATTTTTCTAGCCATTAAGTTATAACTCCTACCTTCGTATTTTCCAATCCTACATGAACATTATTTTGAGAAATATTTTCAAGCGAACATTATTTTCGTAATTTATTTGTTTTTTAACACCAATTTGGCAAATCGTTCTTATTTCAATAATTTTTTTTTTCATTCACATAAAATGGAAAAAGTAGCTATGTTTCGAGATAAACCGCTACTTCGTATGAAATTGAAACCGCTACTTGAAATAGCGGTTATTCTGGAAATAAACCGCTACTTCAAGTAGCGGTTTGTTGCTAGACCGAAAAAAAAACCGGGTTTTTTCCCTTAGCTGACGTGAACGACACGGTGGAAATTAAAAAGAGATTGGCTGTATTTTGGGAATTGCGTGTTTTCCCAACAATTTTTAGAGAAAGCACTCCTAATATGGTTCATTGGTAGGATGATATGATTATATATATAGGGAGTGGATCATGTGAAAACAAGTGTAAAAATAGGCGATCTTGACCATTGAATTCTCATCCACCGGGGGAGATTATATCCGCGTTTTTACTGTGGGTTTTTTTTCTTGATTTATGAAATATCCATTCTCTCTCCTCTACTCTTTACTTTATTTTTATCTCTCCTCCATCTCATATAACTTCATCTTACTCTTTCTCTCTCTCCTTCCCTTGAAAAATCATCAAATTACAGAGACTTTGCTTCAATGTCTATCAAATTCTTTATAAGCTTCAAAGTTGAACCTGAAATGTGAGTTTTTCATTTATGATTTTCATTTATTCTATATTTTCTCTTTATTTGGGTTGGGTATTTGTCGGGTCAGGTTTTGGGTCAATTTGATATATTTATCTTATTTTTGTATATAGTGACCTTTGTATAAATGTTGTCAACTTAATATAATTACCTTAAATTTATATATAGTGACCTTTATGTAAACACTAGGCGAAAAATGGTAATCAGCACCGGTTCAAAAACCGGTGCAGATTTTAGGGGTGCCAAAAACCAGAAGATTTCGCACCAATTCAAAACCGGTGCCAATTCTTAGATTTCGCACCGGTTCTTGCTGTGAACCGGTGCTAAAAATGGCCCAAAAAAATAAAAATAAAACTTTTAGCACTGGTTCTGTTTCAAAACCGGTGCCAAATATGCCCCAAAAAATTATATTATATATTTATTTTTTTTTTGCATTTTTTTCACTTAAATTGTACCAAATACTTATATATAATCATAATATACATAAAACACATATATTTTCTTCAATAACTTGTAATATTACACTTTAAAAAACTGAAAAAAAAACTACACAATCAAAGGTAGGAGGCAGTAGCAGCACTAAAGTAGCATCAACAGCAGAGGTAGAAGGTCATCCTCTGATATAGCATGTAAATAGTCATCCTCTGATACTGGTTCACGGGTTTACGCTTCAAACAGAAAAGGTCTAATAACTCCTGCAAGTTTATCAAGCCTTCTTTGAGCGATCTGTTGGCCAAACATATTTCAACAATTTGGACCCCTTTCTAGGCAACAAGATGTATTAGAAAATACTAGATATGAATAAAAATTCATCACACCAAAAGCAAAGGCAAGCAGGCAAAGCATCATAATATATACTTGTAAAATTTAGCAAAGCCACTGTAAACATACTATATTGAATGGTCGACAAATGAATCATACAAAAGAGCTAAGACATCATGACACTCACCAAGTTCATAATAAAAGTCACTAATTCCCAAAAGCTCTGCCCAAAAACCCCTGTTAATTGAGGCAAGAGGATCCACCCCTACTTTAGAGCACATTTCATGAAATTGAGCTCTGAATGTTGGGTTTTTTCGTATATTATTCTGTAGAATAATGAAAAGTGAAAAATAGAATTACAATATCATCTCTACTTTATGCCAATTTGCACTGTGTAAAAGGATTCTTCTGCATTTAAGTTTTAATAGCTCAAGGTCCCAAGTATAAAATTTTTTGGTTACCTAAAGCTCAAGACCATGTAAATAGTAATCCTAATGTCTACTTAGTCAATCAATGACAGTAAATGATAAAGAGAGGGGCTTAATCAATCGCAATTATTGAAAAAAATTAACAAAACCCTAGATCAATCGCAATAAAACTGAGTTGTGGAATCTGATTTCAAACCCCAAAACTTACTATCAAGTCTGCTAAGGCTATTAAAACCCAATTAAGCCCATAATCTAAACTAAGTTAAAATACCTAGATATCAAAATTACAATAACCATCGAACAAGAGGGACAAAATTAAACTCAAAATAAAACATCACATACACAAAAAAAAAAAAAAAAAAAAGAATTCAAATTGGCCTTAAGCTTACTCGAGCATTAATCTTATATGGTCTTCAAGAAAGCAAATGAAAGAATAGGATATATATTCAAATCATTAAGATAACTATGTTCCCAGATGTATACGGTATGTCCAACGAATTTCAAAAAACCACTAGCGCACGCAACACACGAACAAATCATACATATCAATCAACTAGTAGTTCAAATGAGTCCCCTCATCATTTGGTTAACTATGAATAACTAAGAACTGACTTATAGCAAGTAGCAGTAGTTCTCTCTATACACTTGGTCATTGAGAACTAACACAAATAGGCTGCAGGACAATCTATCATCCAACAATCACAATTCCCCATTAAGACACACACAGGGACTCTTAACTAAATTCACAAGCCAACAACAACAACAACTAATCCAGAAATAAGCAACATCCTTCACATTCAATATCTATCCCCTGGCCAACAACAATATATAGTTGTTGGCAACCATATCATCAACAAAAGGCAACCTCCATCAGAACAATTAACATAAAAATCACTTCAATACCAACAAAAGCCAAGAAACAGTAGTAATCATCATCAATGTTACCAGCTACAAACGTACTAACATAACCATCAATATTAATTCACAAACCCAACAACAACAACAAATTCAGAACCAACAACTAACATTTTTCACATTCAAAATCTATACCCTGGCCAGCAACAATATATTATTTCCAGCAGCCATATCATCAACAAAAGGCAACCTCCATCAGATCAATCAACATAAGAATCACAAATAAATATGTGACAATAACTTATATGTGATAATATTTAAGAATCACTAAACAACAACAATAGTAATCATCATCAACATAGAAAAAACATTTCCACAAGTATATGATAATAACCACTAGCACCCTTGCACACAGAGCACCGCAACACTACACTAGAACAACCTAGCACACAACAACCACACTCAACAATAACAGCAGCACCCCCACAACAGAGCACCAAACAACACACACAACACGCAATAGCAGCGCACCACACACGCAACAATACACGCACATCACCACATGCACAACAACTAACCTCGCAGCACCACGATTAAAATAGAAGGGAAAAGGAAACTCACCAACTAATTTTCAGAAAATACAAAATAATAAAATTATAAATAACCTGCAAAATGCAAACTAATTGGCTAATTGCTACAAAAGTACAAATTACATAACAAAGAAAATTTAAAGTCCAAATACATGACAGTGATAGATTTTAATATCACTTCAACAAGCTTAACCCCAACATTCCCACAATTCAATATGTCAAAAAATCAAAACATACAGAACACATACAAATTCCAACTTATCAACATCAATAAATCAATGAAAATCCAACAAAATTACGAATTCTCCCCAAAAATACCCTTAAATTACATCAGGAAGTGTAGCATCAAGGTAGGAAGCATTGATCTCAACGAAAACACCGTTAGACGGAGCTCCAACAGTGAAAACAACAGCCAAACCCACCAAATCCACCAAAGACGCAATTGCGCCACCATGAAGAGTATTTGCAGTATTCTACAATATCATCCCCAAATCAATTTCGGAGATTCAGAGTCAAATTAGAAACCCTAAATACAAAACCTAAAACCTAGATTTCAAATCGAAGAGCACATACCTCGAATTTGTGATTTTTGAATCGATAATTGACTCAAGTTTGTTGTTGTTGTTGTTGTTGTATTTGGTTCACATTAACGGCGGCGGCGATGGTGGTTGTGCTTGGTTATGGAGAAGGAGAAGGAGATTTAAAGAGAGAAGAAAGGAAAGGGAAAGTGGCGGTTATAGAGAAAAAGATCGAAGGAGGTTGAGGAAAGCGCTGAGAGAAAGCTCAGAAGCCCCTTTAATGGAGAATGTCGAGTACGCTTCAATGGAGGAGAGAGAGGCACATGAGAAAGGAGGAAAGATTGAGAAATTGAAAGAGAAAGAAAGAAGATTGTAACCCGTTTTTTTTTTTATTTTTTAATTTATACAATAGCTTTCGCACCGGTTCGTTTTGTTCGAACTAAACCGGTGCGATTTACTCACTTTTCGCACCGGTTTTGTTAGAACCAGTCCGATTAACTCATTTTTCGCATTGGTTTGGTTGGAACCGGTGCAAAAACTCTTTCCCTCAATCCCGCCTATATTTTTCGCACCGGTTTTTAAAAAACCAGTGCGCATTTGGCGATGCCCATTTAAAATTTTCTACTAGTGAAATGTTGTCAAATTGATATAATTACCCTTTTTATATATATATATATATATATATATATATATATATATATATATATATATATATATATATAGTTACATCTATGTAATTTTATCAATATCTATATAGTTACCTTGTTCTATGGATTGTTTTACACCATCAGATTATTTAATGAACATTTAACGGCTAAGATTGCTTGTTTTTAGTTTTCACCATAAGCTTTGTTTTTAGCGGAACCTCCTCGTATATATATACATATATATATATATATATATATACATATATATATATATATACATATATATACATATACATATATATATATATATATATATATACATATATATATACATATATATACATATACATATATATATATATATATATATACATATATATATATACATATATATATATATACATATATATATATATATATATATATATATACATATATACATATATATATATATATATATATACATATATATATATATACATATATATATATATATACATATATATATATATATATATATATATATATATATATATATATATATATATACATATATATATATATATATATTAGCCAACAAAAGATACTGATCAGCCAACAGAAGCATGTCATATCAGCCAACAAATGAAGTATATCAGCCAACAAAAGGATGAAATCAGCAAATAAAACCAACAGGTAAGCCAATAAAATAATCATATCAGCCAACAAAATGAAATATATAAGCCAACAATTAAAATATACATATCAGCCAACAAAATAAAGATATCAGCCAACTAAAGAAACGTATCAGCCAACTGATAAAAAATAAAAAAAAAACATATCAGCTAACAAAAAGAATATATTAATTAGCCAACACAAAAACCATATCAACCAAAAAATGAAACATATCAGCCAACAAGTGAAATATTTCAGCGAAGCCTGTCACACGTAAATTTTCGTGTGGCATTCCGCACCCAATACCTTCTCTATATAATAAAGAACAAATGAAGCAGAGAAAATCATACAAATTAATCCGTAATGGGCTATAAATCCTATAATGATACTTATCTAAAATGTCAAGTTAAAAAACAAAAATATTCCAAAAATGTTAGTCATAAGATTCAATACTCCAAAAATGTTTTTTTGTTTTTTTTTTCTCTCTACTCTCTCTGTTTTCTTATGAGTGAACCGTTTCTCTAGTGAAGTAAGGTGTAGGGAAGAGCTAGGAAGATGTTTAGTGCCTTTTGCAACACCTAATAGTTGTAGGTTCAACCTTTGAGCTAGACTACTGTAGACACTTACTTTTGGGCTCTTGTCTCAAACGAAAGTGCAATGACGATAAAACACCATTATTTATGTTGGATCAAAGTGAGGAATGAAAATAAACTATTGATTGAAGACTTAACCAACTAATGACACCCTTGAGCCCAAACAAATAAAGACAAAAGCTAAAAAACCATTAAATTCCGATCATAAATTAGGCCTGGTCCATGTTTAGGCTCGGATAAGGTCTAATTCTTGGACGCAATTAAGGCACCTAGGTTAAACACTAAACTACCGCTAAAGATTCATAGCACAACTCTCAAAGTTGCGCAAGGCATGGCAGCGCAACTTCCTAAGTTGGGCTTCTTAAAGGTTCCAAATTTCTCAAAGATTCCAGATCGAATCTTAAAATAATACCGCACGCAAGAACGAAAGTCATGCATATGTGTTGCGCGCAACTTTACCTCGTGTTGTTGCGGCGCATTATTAACCCTAACCTTAATTATTCCCTATAAATAGGGGTTAATATTCGAGCTTATGACAGACTGAAATACAGAATTATTGAACCTGAAAAATATTTTAGTCTTTATGCTTTAATCTTTAAACCTCTTTTCTAGAACACTTTAGCCTAATTAATCATAAAAAGTCGCTGGAGGTTCTGGAGCAAGAGGAAGTCCATAAGCATTCTAAATGACAATCTAGCAAGGAAAAGGAGTAAATCTCCGAGCACTAAGATAACTCACTTTTTATTTTCTTGTTTGAATCAACTTTAATTAATTAATTAATTAGTCTTTTTTTATCACCTAAAATATACATTAATTGATTAGTTTCACCTAGTTTTATTGTGTTAATTTAGACTAGAATTCAAATAATTAATTGTTTATTTGATCACTTAAGAGGTCTAGCGAATCTTGTTAATTTCACAAATTTGATTAAAAAAAAAGATAACGTCATTCGTTACTATGTAGAATCTTTGTGCTTAACGTACATACATAAAATCAACAAACTTAGTTTTAAGTATCATGTTGCATATAATATTTAGTGATGAAATTGTGAAAAAGAAAGAGCTAGTAGAATCCATTTTAGGGCTAGAATATTCGATTCTCGAATGAACGATTTCCTAGTATCCTCGCTCCCAAAACCATCTCTGGATCAATAGACCAATTTGGGCATGGGTAAACTTGCGATTCGTGCTAAATATCCCTTTAACTATATTTGGGAGATTGGGACGAATGAGGTTTATGAGTTTTCCAAAAACTCATTGGTGACTCTTTACTAGTTTCTTACAAAAACGCAATAGCTTGACTTCTTTTAAATTCAAGGTCTCCTAAACAATAAGGAATTCAAATCCTAATATTCCTTAACAAGTGTAAAGTCCCAGGCTTTGTAATGATCAAGTAGCGAGGAAATGGGAATCGCAACGACGGGCTACCATTCTCACAAAAGTGCATTGGATTGTTATCACAATGAGCTCAATAATACAATGACTCTTCTGTTTTTCTTATATTACGGGAGATCATATTACTTACTATCTTTCCTTCCTTATATGACCGTATTAGTCAATTTTGATGGTTGTGTGTATGTTCCAACTTATAATTCAATTAAGTTAGCAACCAGGAATGACAAAGAATCGATTTCAGGTCGGAGAGGGCTAAATTTAAATTCTATTCGCTTAATATATAACCAGATCATGGACTTAGATCCGAATCCAAATCCGCTAGATTGGATTCCGAGTCTGACCCGACTTGTATTTTTAACATCTGATAAAATCTGCCCCATTTGTATGCTATACTAATAATTGCTTATCTTTTCTCTAATAAATTTTATTTCTTACATCATATTGGTCGGATTCGGATCCAGAGTCAGACTTTGTAGATGGTCCAAGTCCGATTTGCCTCATTTTCGGATTTAGGTTTATTTAGTCGGATTCAGACTAATTCCTTCGGATTAGGCCAAATTTGAATCGAACCTCAGATTGAATTGACATCCATATTAGCAACACAATTAATTTGATGAATATCCAATTGATTTGACAGGGAAGCCGCATTAGATCAAACGTATGAAAGTATATAACTTTGGGTTAGAATTGATAATGTACAAGCTTCTTTTTTGGTTCTCATTCGAACCCAATACCCATTGCCTATAATGGAGATCCTTTATTCCATTTTGAGCCCCTTTTTATGTTCTTTTTTCAATGATTTTGCCACACCCTCTACCACTCACCAATAACAATAATTACTGAATGCATCATTCATGGAGAAGTTTTTCGAACCCCTTAACTATTAATTTCAACTGCTGATTTAAATTTGTATGATGATGTGCTACATCATGTAATCTTGGAATTAATTTTCATCACTATTGTTCTGTACGTGTGTGTATTTTTTGTTTTTGTTTTTCCCCTTTTGTTACTTTTACATTGAGTTTGATTGTCGTATTGGGCTTCGACTTTTCATTCTATATTTCTCTTAGAAATTTACAATGCAACTGGATTTTGTATGATGTGCAATGAACTTGTGCCTTAGTGTACATACATGTATATGTGTGTGTGCTTTCTTTCTTATATGTATGGAAAAGGTTGATGGCACCATATACACTTGCATTTTTTTTATCTTGGAAATTTTTTATACATGATCAGGTGGTGAAGAAAAAGCTTTGGTGAGAATTGAGGTTCAGCGGCATCGCAAATCATTGATGTCAATCACTGAAGACAAGCCTATTTGAGTAAAATAGCTGCAGTTTTGTCATGCTTTAAGGTTTTGATTATTCTTTAATTTACTTATCACTAAGAGGTTAATATAAGATTAAGTGCTTCAACTATGGAGTTTTTTTTGCAATTTCTATCTCAAAATTATACCAGATTAGTAGATGGCAATTATTTCGGATGAATAACAATATAACTCAACTAATTCATACCAATTCAACATAATAATCTACGAGTACACTTTTTTGCTTTCATTCCTTGTTGAGAACTTCAGTGTAGAACTTCGGTTGAAGTTATTCTTTGCTGAGAACTTCATAATATTCTGCGAGTACACTTTTTTGCTTTCATTCCTTTTACTCTGCTTCTCCTAGTTAAAACTTCAACCTGTGAAATTTTTCTAAGTACCAAGCTTCGGCTTGGAACTGGCTAGCTGAGTGGCTCTTGCCCCCCTTAGAAATCTGAAGATAGAGTCTTCAGGTTTTTGAGGAGATTGTTTCAACTTTCTTATATAGCCGAGGTTTTTGCCTTGGCGAAATTTTTGTGATAATTCAGATTATTGGGTTTCTGCTCATTTTTATTTTCTCTTCTATTTTGTTTTAAAAAAGGTCTGATTTCTTGCTTAAGAGCCGTAAACTCTGAGATTAATACTCTTGTGATCCTTTTAATTCATCCGAGGGAACGACTATGCGGAACACGATGCAGGGGCAATGATCTATCCGAAGTACAATGCTTCACTAGGCAGTACTTTGGATATGTAATCATCACCCGGAATTGATTCATCCGAAGTATAATGCTTCATTAGGCAATACTTTGGGGCTTTATCAGTTCTAATTTTTAAGCAGTGTTTCGGATGCGCCTATGGCCTCTTTGCCCGAAGGAATTGATTCATCCAAAGTACAAGGCCTCACTAGGCAATACTTCATGGATTTGTCATTTGTCCTTGTCTTGGCAGGTTTTACGGTTTGCCGAAGTACCATGCATCACTATGCAATACTTCAGGCAACACCGAATGAAAACCTTGAATTTTTCAAAAACCATTGAAGACAGAAAAAATAGAAACTTCATTGAATTTGGATAAAACGGTGGCTCAAAGGCCTTTCATTAATGTAAGGAAGTGTACTTACATAAACTGCTTTTCCCCGAAGGGCTTTACACATGGTATCTCTTAAGTACATCAGCATTCCAGTGATTTTTCAGCTCAGTACCATCTAACTGCCGAAGTTGGTACATGCCTGGCTGATGTTCATCATATATTTCATAGGGTCCTTCCCAAGTAGCCGAGATTTTCCCATGAATGCGGCCTTTTTGCACAACAACAGTATTCCAAAGAACAAGGTCTCCAATTTTGAGAGGTCTTGCACGAACTCTTCAGTTGTAAAATTTGCTGATTCTTTGCTTGTATGTAGTCATTCTATCTCGAGTTGAATCTCTGATCTTATCTAAGAAGTCAAGGGACTATTTCAAGAGTTGCTCATTTTCTTCAGCTGAGAAGAGATTTACTCGTAGACTTTCCGAGCCAATTTCCACTTGAAGCACAGCTTCGGATCTATACACCAACTCAAAAGGTAAATGTCCCGTTGCCTTTTTTCCGTCGTCCGAAGTGACCAAAGAGTTCCTGGAAGTTCCTCTATCCACTTGGACTTTTTATCTTCAACTCTCTTCTTGAGAGCGTTAAGGATTTGTTTATTTGCAGCTTCGACTTGACCGTTACTTTGCGAATGACACAACACCGAATATGCCAGCTTAATGCCGAACTAATCTGTGTACCGCTTTAGCGGCAGATTATCAAATTGCCTTCCATGATCAAAGACAAAAACTTTTGGAATCCCAAAGCGAGTAATAATGTTCTGCCATATGAATTTCCTGACTGTTTGCTCTATAATGTTTGAATCTTCTTCGGCTTCAATCCATTTCCTGAAATAGTTTATTCTAGCTATCAGCCATCTTTTTTGATATGGGGCATCGGGAAACGGTCCCAAAATATCCAGTCCCCATTGAGCAAATGGAAGAGGATTCAGCATTGGCTGAAGATCTTGCAATGGCCGATGAATAACTGGTGCGAATTTTTGGCATTTTTCACATTTTCTGACCAGTTCCTTTACATCTACGATCATGGTTGGCCAATAGTACCCGACCCTTAGTGCCTTATGGGTGAAGGTTCTTCCCCCTATGTGGTTTACACAGATGCTGAGGTGGAACTCCCGAAGGATATAATCAGCATCTTTTGGACCCACGCACTTCAATAGCGGGGCTGAAAAAGATTTTTTCAGAAGCTCTCCTCTAAAGACGATGAATCTTGAGATGATTCTTTTTATCTTAGAGGCTAAGCTCCTGTCTTCGGGGAATTCTCCTCGAAGTTTGTAAGTTAAGATGGGATCCATCCAGCTTGACTCATGTGCAACGCAGCATATGTCCATTGCTCCATCCACACTTCTTTCTCGGCGCACCTCCACGAATACGGATTGATTCAACTCAGTTAAAGTTGAACTTGCAAGTTTGGAAAGTGCGTCGGCTTGTGCGTTCTGACCCCTTGGGATCAGCTCGACTTCAAAAGTTCACAGCTTCGCAATAACAACCTTGATCTTCGCGAGGTAAGGTATCATTGAGGACTCTTTTCCCTCATATTCGCTACGGATCTGATTTGCGACGAGCTGAGAGTCTGTCTTTTAACAAACGTGTTCAACATCTAGTGCTATGCACACCTCTAGGCCAACAATTGCTGCCTCCTATTCAGCTTCGTTGTTTGAAGCCTTGAACAAAAATTTTAGTGCATACTCAAAGGATTTGCCTTCGGGAGAGGCCATAACGACCCCTGCCCCTGAACCATTCACGGTGGAGGATCCATCCGTGAAAGCAGTCTACTTTTTCTTCCCTTTATCGAGTGTCTCTTGATAGGAACACTCGGCAAGGAAGTCTGCTTAGGCTCGCGCCTTGATAGCTGCCCTCGGCTGATAGGTGACATTGAACTCAGCGAGCTCGAAAGCCCACTTTTCTAGTCTGCCAGAGTTCTCTACTTTGCCGAGGACATTTTCCAGCGGATAATCAGTTAAGACCACTATTTGATGGGAATCAAAGTAGGGCCTCAACTTCCGAGCAGCTACCACTACTACATAAGCAACTTTCTCGAGTAAGGGGTAGCGCGTCTCGGCATCTGTCAGAGTGTGACTGACAAAATAGATCGGCTACTGAATTCTTTCTTCTTCCCTCAGTAACACCGCACTTATTGTGGCTGGGCTAACCGCCACGTACAAGTATAAGGCCTCCCCTTCAATTTGGTCTTGCCAAAGTTGGGAGTTAAGTCAGATGCTCGCTGAGTTGCTTAAAGGCTTCTTTTTGCTCGTCTTCCCAGATGAGCTCTTTTGACTTAGGGTGCTTCAACGCTTTGAAGAAGGGAAACCCCTTGTCCGAAGCTCTAGAGATGAACCTGGAAAGGGCAGCCATTCTGCCAGTGAGACGCTTAACATCCCTCTTTGTTTTCGGCTCAGGAAGATCCAGAGCTGCTTGAACTTTGGAGGGATTGGCATCAATCCCCCTTTTGCTGACCATGAAGCCGAGGAATTTGCCCGGCTTCACGCCGAAGACACATTTCTTCGGATTCTGGTTTTGATGCTTTCGAAAGGTTGGTGAAGGTTTTGGCCAGGTCCGTAACATGGTCTGTATCTTTTTTGCTTTTGACGATAGAATCGTCGACATAGACACTACTACATTTTAGACCTAATAAAACTGATTTTTTCGTTGTATTAGGTGTTAAAAACCGTTGTATTAGACCTAATACAACGGCTAGCAACCGTCACATTTGCTAGGGTTGAATTAGGTCTAATACAACGGTAAAATGGACCTAATCCAACGGATTGAGCAATTCGTTGGATTAGGCTCCCCAATCCGTTGTATTAGGTCTTTTATTATTATTATTATTGTTATTATTATTATTATTCTTATTATTATTATTATTATTATTATTATTATTATTATTATTATTATTATTATTATTATTATTATTATTATTATTATTATTATTATTATTATTATTATTATTATTATTATTATTATTATTATTATTATTATTATTATTATTATTATATCTCAAAAACAGAGAAAATCATACAACCTACAATAAATTAGTGGGAAGCCGAGATATAATCTGGGCCCCCACTCCTCTAGCTATAGCAAAGCCTACCCTAGTGAAGGTATGAGCTATTATTATTATTATTATTATTATTATTAGTATTATTATTATTATTATTATTATTATTATTATTATTATTATTATTATGATTAATATTAATATTATTAATAATAATAATAATAATAATTAATAACAATAATAATAATAATAATAATAATATTATTATTATTATTATTATTATTATTATTATTATTATCATTATTATTATATTGTCCAGATTGTCCAAGTCCAGAACTGATCAATGTCTTCTTAGTTTGCATCTTAATTTTGGTATTGTATCTCTATCACATTTTCTAAGATAAGAAAATCTGAAAAAGAAGATCTGAAAAATTGAAAATCGAAAACGAAAAATTGAAAAACGAAAATCGAACGAAAAATTGAAAAAAGATCTGAAAATTTGAAAAAAGTAGATCTGAAAAACGAAAAACGAAGATAATACCAGATCAAACGAAGATCTGAAAACGAAAGAAAAAAAAACGAAGATAAAAAAAATACCAGATCAAACGAAGATAAAAAACGAAAATACCAGATCAAACGAAAATAAAAAAAAACAACGAAGACTGCAAAATTGAAAAACGAAGATAAAAAAACAAAACATAAAACGAAGATTTGGAAATAAAAAAACGAAAACGAAAATACCAGATCGAGAATTCGAAAAAACCAAAAAACGAAAACGAGAAAAAAAAAAGAAAACAGTCAAAACGAAAACAAGAAAACGATTTAAACCCAGATTTAAAAAACCCAGAAAAATGAAAAAAAAAACCCAGAAATACAAAAAAAAAACCAAAAAAATCAAGAATTCGAAAAAACCAACAAAAAAATTCGGAAACGAAAAAAAAACCCAGAAACGAAAAACAACCCAGAAAAACGAAAAAAAAACCTAGAAAACGAAAAACAAGATCTTAAAAATGAAAAAAAAAACAAGATCTGAAAAACGAAAATACCTAGAATGAACGACGACGATGGTGAGAGAAGCAGTCGGCGTTGAGGCTTGAAGAGAGGAAGAGAATGAGAGTGAGGAGAGAGATAAGAGAGTGAGAGAGAGGATTGAGATAAGAGAGTGAGAGAGAGGATTGAGAGAGTGAGGAGAGAGACGGAGAGAAGGAGAGTGAGGAGAGAGACGGAGTGAGAAGAAAGAATGAGAGTTGAGAGCGATTAGGCCCAAATTATAAGGCCCTCCCGACTTTTTTTTTTTTGATAGTCTAATACAACGGATTCTTATATCTAATACAACGGTTACTATAAACCGTTGTATTAGACCTGTTTATACGACTTTTTTTTTTTTCTTTTTTTTTTACTGATCCGTTGTTAGACTAGGTCTAATACAACGGATTCTTATATCTAATACAACGGTTAGTATAAACCGTTGTATTAGAGCTATTTTAGTATAAACCGTTGTATTAGCCTAGTCTAATACAACGGTATGAAATGAGCCGCTGTATTAGCTAATTTTGTACCGTTGTATTAGATTAAAAATGTAGTAGTGAGACTTCCATGTTTCGGCCCTTTTGCTCGACAAAAACCTGGTCAACTAGCCGTTGAATAGTTGCCCTTGCATTTTTCAATCCAAAGGGCATCATCTTATAGTTGTACACCTCGGCAATTATAACGAATGTCGTTTTTTATTTGTCATCGGGATGCATGAAGATCTGATGATACCCCGAGAATGCGTCCATAAAACTATGTAGGGCATGCCCACTTGTCGAATCGACTAACTGGTCGATTCTGGGCAAGGGATAAAAGTCTTTTAGACAGGTCTTATTTAGATCTATGAAGTCAACGCACATCCTCCAGGTCCCATTTTCCTTTTGAACCATCACCATGTTAGCCAACCATTCTAGATACTGACAAGGTTCAATGAAACCTGCATCCAGAAGTTTTTTGACTTCAGCAGCGATATCTTGGTTCTTTTGGGCGGAGTAATTCCGCCTCTTTTGCTTAATTGGTCGACACGTTGGGTCAACATTAAGCTTATGAGAGATGAGGTTCAGGTTAATCCGTGGCATTTCTGCGGCCGAGAACACGAACAAATC